GGTGGCGAATCTGCAGCTTGTCGAGAGAATTAGGCAAAAGAGGGGACTGAACTAGCAAGAATGGGGATACAAATAGCAAACCCTAGAAGGGTTGTACTCGCTACAGAGCACCCCACTACAGGCTAGAGCATAATATTCTGACACACCCCCATAGCCAAAGTGGGGTGTAATCAGCAGAGGAAACAAAGCAGTACAAGCTCAGGGTGGATCACGATGTCACCACACATTCTGAGCACAAGCAAGAAGCAATAGTTTAAGATTCACAATTATGAGCAAAGCTAGAGGCAGTCACAGGGGGCAAGTGAGGAGGAGGAGGGCTGGCGAGAGGAGAGTAGATAGGAGGCGACGACTGAAGCTGCAGACACACGGGCAACAGACGGCTCTGGTGCGACAACGTGGCTACCGGGAATGAGTGCCCCGGAGTACAGGAGTAACAGGCTCCGCGGCTAATATGCACGGCAGGAGCAACGGACCCACAGGCGACGGCGCAACCGGCTCTCTGAGCTACCGGTGGCTAATCGACCCCCGGAATACAGGCGCTGCGGACGACACGACGGCGACCTCCGCTCAACCTCCTCCAACTGTCCCACACCCCTCGACACACACCCCCTGCTGAACCCCTAGCTCCACTCCCACGGCACCCCCCTTTAAACCCTAACCCTCGGCTCCCACACATCCACCCCCCTCAGCGGCAGCTGCAGCAGTGGGAGACGGAGGAGGAGGAGGAGCAGGGGACGGCGCACACACACGGCACCCCCATAGCTGCCACCCCCACAGTTCTCACCCCCAAACCCTAAAAACGGGCGGAACGGGGGAAGGAGCGCGGGGGACGGCGAGGGGGACGGCGCGCGGCCCCCAGGACGCCACCACGGGGCCGCGGGCGACGGGATCGCGGGGCCGCGGGCGACGGGATCGGGGGGCCGCGGGCGACGGGAAAGCGGGGCCGCGGGCGACGGGATCGGGGGGACGCGGGCATCCCCCACGGGAGGAAACCGCCGCGCGCCTCGGGGCGCACGGCGGGGAGAAACCCGCCGCACGCCCCGAGCGCGCGGCGGGATGAAAAATCCGTAAAAAAAAAAAAATTCGCCGCGCGCGGAGCGTCGCGCGACCAGTAGAACAGCAGCGGAAGCATTTGGTGGTGGGCCCACCCACAGGATCGACCCAACAGGATCGTCCTGCTCTGATAGCATGTCGAGAGAATTAGGCAAAAGAGGGGACTGAACTAGCAAGAATGGGGATACAAATAGCAAACCCTAGAAGGGTTGTACTCGCTACAGAGCACCCCACTACAGGCTAGAGCATAATATTCTGACACAGCTGGCGGTGTGTGGGGCCACGCGGAGCTTTCCGAGCAGTTACGGTCCAGGATCCCGAGGATCCTGCGTGTCTTTGGCAGAATCGCTCGAGTCGTCATTGGCACCCGTGTCGGAAGCGCCCGCCGGGGTAGCGCCCTTAGCCCGTACTTTCCCCAGCCACGTGGGGGATCTTGTAGGGGTTGCTCGAGGCGGGACTCCGGTGGACACGCTTCAGTCGTCGGCGCACCTCCTGCTGTCAATGTCGGCGTGCATGCGCTCCATGCTTGAAGTAGAGGGGGCGGAGCCGTACACGATGTAGGCCTCCGTCTCTTGTAGTATTGCATCTCTGTTGCTCTTTGTTGTAGGTCTTCTCCCTTGCGTGTAGCTTTGCGTATGCCCCCCCTTATAAGCTCTCCCGTTGTGTGTTGACTTGCCGCCCCAAACGCGCGGCCGAAGGCCGCCGGCGCGAGCGCCGAAAATGAACCCACGACAAAATAATGAGGAGAAGCAGGCTAGAGCAGACCTTAAATAGGCCGGGAGGGCAGAGGGCAGAGGGAGAAGGCCGAGGGCAGAGGGCTAAGGTTCCTCTCTCTCTCTCTCTCTCGCTCGTGATTTATCTCTCTCTCCTTCTTTCCCTTCTCCTCACACTGCTGACCAGGTTCATCCCTTCTTCCTCCTAGCGTACGTAATCACCTTATCCTGCTCTCCTCTTGGTATCTCAGGCTTCCCTTGTAGCAAGCATGGCACTCCCCCTCAGGGGCTCCGTCAGATTGCTTATAGCCTCTCCTACTGCTAGTTCCCTCTGGATTAGGAAAACAAATTGCAGTAAACGAGAAGCATACAAGCAAAAAGCAACGAGTCTGAGCGCTACTCCCGTCTACATCCCCTCCTGCCTAGGTGCCTTGTCCCACAAGCTACCTCTACTCCTAGCGCGAGTCAGCCGAGCTGATCGCGTAGGCTTCAAGGTGCTAGCTGGGTCCCACTGGGCCCACTAGGCATGCACCGCCTTCCAGCCTGTGAATGTCGAATTGAATTCCCAGGTTGGAAGGAATCGAATTCGCCACCATCCTTTCCAACAACCACCTCGAAATCCTCAGCGGCTCGACTCTGTATAGTACAGTAAACATTCCAAGCAAGCACACAAAGTAAATGCGGAAAACAGTAAACTTATAGTACACCCTCACCTTTGGCTGCTATGGAATTAGCACTTAATTGCCAGCCACAATCACCAAGCCATGTGACATTCACAAAGCAACTGGTCAATCTATGGCTCATTATAATAACATGCCATGAGATATTCAGCTTGCACTTTATCATGCTGTAGGGTACTAAGTCGGAATATACGCTCGGCTGGCAAGGCGTACTGCGTTTGTACGCTGGCGTATGTACGCAAAAACGCAATACGCTAGAAAAACGCTCGGATTTCGGGCGGGCAGCCCGTCGAAAAAAAAAAGCCTAAAAGCGGGAATTGCGAGTTGCAATGTGTGAGGACATCCAGCATGCAACTCATCGCGCCATGGGACATCCAACATGCAATATGCCATGCCTTGAGGTGTTTAGCATGCATGACATTTGTTGCCATGGGAGAACTGTTATAATTTGAGATACTCAACATGCAATCTATCATGTTTGCAGACATTCAGAATGCCAGTCACCATGCCATGAGACATTCATTCAGCATATCATGCTACGAGACATCCATTCAGCATATCATGCTAGGAGACATCAATAATGCATAATACATGCATAGAGGAATTTGGCAGGCAATTCAAGATGCCAAGACATTCGGTATGCAATTTCATTATGGATTGAGATGTTCAGGGTGTCACCTATCATACCTTGCAGCACTCAGAATGCATTGATTTGTCATGCTATGCATCTAGGCATTCAAAACTTCAGCAAACGAAATGTAAAGCTTCGATATGTCCAGCACCCCCATTCCTCTCACACCCCCCATCCCTCACACCCCCCATCCCTCGCACCCCCCATCCCTCACACCCCCCACCCCTCTCACAGCCCCCACCCCTCTCATATCCCCCACTCCTCTCAATCCCTGACTCCTCGCATATCCCCCACTTCTCTCATACCTCTCATTCCAACGAGTCACTGTTTCTGCTGGTCCTGCTTTTCACCCTTGCACTCTTGCTTTCCGCCCTTGCACTCCCGCTTTCCGCCCTTGCACTCCCGAATTCCGCCCTTGTACTCCTGCTTTCCGCCCTTGCACTCCTGCTTTCCGCCCTTGCACTCCTGCTTTCCGCCCTTGCACTCCCGAATTTCGCCCTTGCACTCCTGCTTTCCGCCCTTGCACTCCTGCTTTCGACCCTTGCATCCCTGTTTTGCGGCTTCAACAGCAACTCCCACTGTTTCGTATGCTCCACCTCTTCACTTTCCAACTCACCCATGCCTTTCCATCCCACCCATGCCTTTCCATCCCACCCAAGCCTTTCCATCCCACCCATGCCTTTCCATCCCACCCATGCCTTTTCATCCCACCCATGCCTTTCCATCCCACCCATGCCTTTCCATCCCACCCATGCCTTTCTATCCCACCCATGCCTTTTCATCCCACCCATGCCTTTCCATCCCACCCATGCCTTTCCATCCCACCCATGCCTTTCCATCCCACCCATGCCTTTCCATCCCACCCATGCCTTTCCATCCCACCCATGCCTTTCCATCCCACCCATGCCTTTCCATCTCACCCATGCCTTTCCATCCCAACCATGCCTTTCCATCCCACCCATGCCTTTCCATCCCACCCATGCCTTTCCATCCCACCCATGCCTTTCCATCCCACCCATGCCTTTCCATCCCACCCATGCCTTTCCATCCCACCCATGCCTTTCCATCCCACCCATGCCTTTCCATCCCACCCATGCCTTTCCATCCCACCCATGCCTTTCCATCCCACCCATGCCTTTCCATCCCACCCATGCCTTTCCATCCCACCCATGCCTTTCCATCCCACCCATGCCTTTCCATCCCACCCATGCCTTTCCATCCCACCCATGCCTTTCCATCCCACCCATGCCTTTCCATCCCACCCATGCCTTTCCATCCCACCCATGCCTTTCCATCCCACCCATGCCTTTCCATCCCACCCATGCCTTTCCATCCCACCCATGCCTTTCCATCCCACCCATGCCTTTCCATCCCACCCATGCCTTTCCATCCCACCCATGCCTTTCCATCCCACCCATGCCTTTCCATCCCACCCATGCCTTTCCATCCCACCCATGCCTTTCCATCCCACCCATGCCTTTCCATCCCACCCATGCCTTTCCATCCCACCCATGCCTTTCCATCCCACCCATGCCTTTCCATCCCACCCATGCCTTTCCATCCCACCCATGCCTTTCCATCCCACCCATGCCTTTCCATCCCACCCATGCCTTTCCATCCCACCCATGCCTTTCCATCCCACCCATGCCTTTCCATCTCACCCATGCCTTTCCATCCCACCCATGCCTTTCCATCCCACCCATGCCTTTCCATCCCACCCATGCCTTTTCATCCCACTCGGTCTTTGCCCTATGTTAGCAGGCGAGCTACTGTGCTGCTGGCTGGCTGTGGTTCAGTTGAGGGAGAGAAATCTGTGTATTGGCTACTACATTCGTGTTTGTGGTACGATGTGCTATGCTTGATGGGTTGTCAAGTGTTCCCCCCCCCCTCTCTCCCCCCCCCCCCTCCCTCTCCCTTGATGGGTTAGTAGGGATGGGGAGAGTAGGCACGAGGAGAGTAAAGACGGGGAGAGTAGAGACGGGGAGAGTAGAGACGGGGAGAGTAGAGACGGGGAGAGTAGAGACGGGGAGAGTAGGGACGGGGAGAGTAGAGACGGGGAGAGTAGAGACGGGGAGAGTAGAGACGGGGAGAGTAGAGACGGGGAGGGTAGAGACGGGGAGAGTAGAGACGGGGAGAGTAGAGACGGGGTGAGTAGAGACAGGGAGAGTAGAGACGGGTAGAGTAGAGACGGGGAGAGTAGGGACGGGGAGAGTAGAGACGGGGAGAGTAGAGACGGGGAGAGTAGAGACGGGGAGAGTAGAGACGGGGAGAGTAGAGACGGGGAGAGTAGGGACGGGGAGAGTAGAGACGGGGAGAGTAGAGACGGGGAGAGTAGAGACGGGGAGAGTAGAGACGAAGAGAGTAGAGACGGGGAGAGTAGAGACGGGGAGAGTAGAGACGGGGAGAGTAGAGACGGGGAGAGTAGAGACGGGGAGAGTAGAGACGGGGAGAGTAGAGACGGGGAGAGTAGAGACGGGGAGAGTAGAGACGGGGAGAGTAGAGACGGGGAGAGTAGAGACGGGAAGAGTAGAGACGGGGAGAGTAGAGACGGGGAGAGTAGAGACGGGGAGAGTAGAGACGGGGAGAGTAGTGACGGGGAGAGTAGGGACGGGGAGAGTAGGGACGGGGAGAGTAGGGACGGGGAGAGTAGGGACGGGGAGAGTAGGGACGGGGAGAGTAGAGACGGGGAGAGTAGAGACGGGGAGAGTAGAGACGGGGAGAGTAGAGACGGGGAGAGTAGAGACGGGGAGAGTAGAGACGGGGAGAGTAGAGACGGGGAGAGTAGAGACGGGGAGAGTAGAGACGGGGAGAGTAGGGACGGGGAGAGTAGGGACAGGGAGAGTAGGGACGGGGAGAGTAGGGAAGGGGAGAGTAGAGACGGGAAGAGTAGGCACGGAGAGCGGGGAGAGTAGCGACTGGGAGAGTAGGAATAAACCGTGAAACACATTGCTGCTAACCGTTTGTCTGTCAGGTGTTTTCCCTAATGGCTCGGATGATCGGATTCCGAATGCCATGATCTGCCTGCCATGAAGCTTCCCACCCAAGCGCCTGCTCCTTTATTCCACCCTGCATTAGGTTTCACCGTCCTGTACCATCCATTGCACCCCCCACGATATCTTTCTGAGCGCTCCCTCCCCCACCCCACCCTTCGCCCCATACCCACTTCTCTCCCCTCTCCATACCCTTCAGTTGGGAGGCATGAAGTGGCATGCCAGCTTGCAATCTTCGTCATCTGCTCGTCTTCCCGCCCCTCACACGTGCGGCAGGCAGGTGGGGGCACGCGATGGCCTGCTGGCCTGCAAGGTGCGGCACTGGGGTGGAGAGGGAGGGAGGGGCGGGTACGGTGATGGAGGAGGTGAGAACGACATGAGGAACAGGCAAAAGTGCAGCACCAGAGAAAAGAGGGCAATCAGGTTGAATAGGGCAAGGAGGTTGGTGAGGGGGGCTGAAGCAACCTGACGGAGTGGTGAAAGGCAATTTGAGAAGGCAGGATGGCGGGTGAGGTTGGTAGGGCTATGGACGAGAGTGATGACCACTGATGCCAAGCCCGGTGCTCGTGCAGCCTTGTTTGTGCCGACAGGGCTTCAAGGGAGTACCCTGCTTCTGTGGCGTCTGAAGAGACAAGCTGAGCTGAGTAGGTGTACAAATCTGGAAATTAATTTTCTCTCACGCTATCGTTCTTCTTCCATCCATTGCAGCTGCTCACGCCTGCCTCCTTTCGTGCCTTTGCGCCTAGTATGGTGCTTTAGGTGCTAGTTTGCTGATTTTGAATAATGAATGTGAGCATTCCCCTCGGAGTGCAAAACCATCAGCCAAACTCCGCTCCTGTTTCGTCCCTCAGCAGTGCGCGCTTACCTCCTTTGCCCTCTCCCCCAATCCCTTTCCTTTGCAACAGCAACAGCACCTGTCCTGTAGAAGCTGTTAGAGTAGAAGAGCAGAGGCATAGAGCTGCGATTGGCGAGAAGTAGCTCCAACGGAGGAAGGGGGTTCTGAGCAGGTAGAGACGAGGGTATTGTGAGGAGTAAGCAGGGAGCAGGTGGCAGGGGGGGCACAAGCAGAAGAGGGGAGCAGTAAAAGGTGAAGGAGGGGAGGAGGGCGAGGAGGAGAGAGTCCGAGGAAGGAGGAGGAGAAAGTCAGAGGGAGGTGGAGGAGAGGAGGTGGCAGCATAGGACAATGAGCCCGAGGGTCACCAGCAACGTACTTACACGTGGTGGGCGGGGCCAGTGCGAGCGTGCGAATTGGTGTACAGGGTAAATTCTGGAGCGTGGCTTCTGCTTTCGGGTGAGTCCTTCTGCTATTTTACAGCCACTTCACATGTGCTTCAATCTGCTTCCAATGGTTGGGGGGGGCAGTGCGAGCGAGCGAACGGGGATTTGCCGGGAGTATGACGTGGCTTTGTGGCGACCAGGCTTGCGCGTCTCTAAAGGTTGCACCATGGTGTTTCATATTCATGGGGCGGAGGTGACTTTTGATCGACTCAAAAGCACGGGAAGGCAAGGAGGTTCATGTGGTGGACAGAGTAGGGTGCGGATTTGGTGCATCATTTGGTGGACAGGAAGGCACATTAGGCACACCTGTTGGGCAGTCGCTGTGGGGCGGGACTGATGTGTGTTCGAGTCACTCCAAGGCATTGCTCCCTCCCTCTCCCAGCTTCCTCCATGCTCACTTGCCCCCCCAGCTCAGCTCCGGCACCTGTTACTCCTAGCTTACTTCTGCCTGGCCCACTGCTCCTCTCAGCTTCTATCGAGCACTTTTCCGCACCTTAGGTCCACACTGTCCACACTGTCCACACTTTGGTCCACACTACTCTCTTGAGAATTCTAAGAGTTGGTACAAGCATATCAATGCTCATTTCCCCTCCTTTCCCCCGCTTTCCACATTCGCACCTGCTTCTCCTGTGCCTCTTCTGCTCTGTCACACAGACTCGTGCCCCCATGGTATGGATGGTGCAAGGAATGAGGGCTATTCGTGGGTCACCAGTGGGTCAGCAGCAGCAGGTCAGTAGCATGAAGGAGGTGGGCTGTAATGGGTCACGTCTGCGTGAAGACGGTGCATGGATGATGCGAGGAACGTGGGCTATTCATGGGCCACCAGTGGGCTAGTAGCAGGTCACTCGCTCTCATGTCACTCGCTCTCATGTCACTCTTAGGTCACTCTCGGATTTCCCTCAGCTGAGATCACCCACAGTTGATCATCTGTGTTTAGGTTGATCGGCAAGAGGCTGGCTGCCCTGAGGCTGAATGCACTGTGTTGTGGCAGTGCTAGTCATCCTGGTGGAGGTTCAGGACTTACAGGGACCATCACGCTACTTCCATCGCTCCTTCTGCTCACCCTCCTCCCATTACTCACTGCCGCTCTCTGATTGCACACCAGGTGTGCAGAGTGCAACCGTCACTCTCCATTGCTGTCCCCTCATCCCCTTCACCTTACACTTCCCATCCACTTCTCCTTCCCCTCCCCCATCCCCTTCCCCAGCTTGAATAGGCCAATTGCAAGTGTATGCAGGAGCAGGCGGATTCGAAGTCGGGCGCATCTCGATCACCTCGTAGTGGTGAAGGGGATGAGGGGAGGCGCCGGAGGAGCAGAAGGAGAATTCCATCCAATAGCGTCCAATCTGCCCATCCTACATCCACCTCTCTTGATCTCTCGGCCTCTCTCTGGCCTTCCTTCCCTCCAATCACCCACCAGGTGTGCATGGTACAACCAGCGGCATCCATCCATCCATCCCCTGCCATCTATGCGCTCACACACCCGTCAGCGATTACTCATCTCCACAATGAGGTTAGTAGTGCCTTGTATAGAATGTGCTCACATTTGTCGCATGCAGGGCTTCAGATTCGTTTTGGGCCACCCTTAGTAATCAGGGTTCTAGGTATAGTCAACCCTGACGTGTAGGGTAATTTTTTTGTTTCCTTGACAAAAGCAGGGTAAAAAAAACTCAGTCTAATTGGCTAGCGTATATTCAAAAAACAAATCAGATATATGACGCAAAACGCTAGGGTCAGTACCTAGATGCTCAGTTGGTTCGATAGCAGATGAAGATGTGAGGGATCGTAGGTTCGAGTCTCGCTGTTTGGAGTATTTTGCACAAGCCCTTGTTGTGTTACGTCTCGCTACGGAGCATTCGGTAACAATACAGCTAAGATTGTACAGTGCACAGTCAGGGAAACAAGTTCCTTACGCTGTTTTTCAAAGGGTACAAAAAAACTTACACTTTCTGGCCTAGGGTAAAAAATCCACTACCCTGCCTGTGAAAGGGTAACTGAAAAAAAGCGGCCGCCAGTCAGTGCAAAAAGGGTATTTTACCCTGATAACGAGAGGCCTGGTCGCATGGCTTGCCACCACTGCCATAGGCACTTCATTGTCTCTTGTGTCCACCCCGATCTCATCTCCTCATTGCCCCGATTCACCATGATCTCATTGCCCCATCATATCATTATCCCATCACTCCATTGTCCCATCACTCCATAATCCCATCATACCATCATCCCATCACATTGCAGAGAAGCTGTCAAATCTCTTCCTGACCTTCACCGGGTGGCAAGACTCGTCCCGCTCTGTAAAACTCCAGAAGGAGCAAATTGATAGACCTGTGTTTCTTTTTTAAAATGTATTTTAGTCCTCTGAGTGAGTCAGTTGGTCTGTGAAGCTGCTCAAGGAGCAGATTGACCGACTCATCCACATGCTGTCAGACGAGCACAAGTGAGTCTTTTGGTTGGTGTAAGTCTGTTGATATAAGTAAGCCTGTTAAGTTAAAGTATCTCTGTTATCTTTAATACCACTGTTTGCCCGCATGCTCTCATCCACATGCTGTAAGACGGGCATACGTTACCGTAGTCACTTCATGTAAGTAAGTCTCTTTGCTGAAGTCAGTCTGTTGCATAAGTATTTTAGTGCTAACTCCTGTATCCCCTCCTCCCTCTCATGCCTCTCCGAATCCCTCCCACCTTCCAGGTAGGTTCTCTTCAACGTGGCATTTGCAGGCTTCGCCTGGCCTTTCAGATCGCCACGGGGCACTTACAGTCTCAACCCACCCAAGGGGCTCAAACAGCAGGAGCTCTCACCTCTGCCGCTACTGCCAGCAGCGTCAGCAGTGGAGCGGGGTATGGGCCGGTGTACCCGCTTCAGAGTCGCATCAACGATGTGATTTTCATCATGCACGAGGCTCGGAACGCACTTAAGGTCTGGGAGCACTGGCGGGAGTGGCTGACAGCTCGGGGCGTTGTCTTGTCATCGATAATGTGGAGCCGCACTCAACCTCACTGGCCCCTCGGGCGCGGGGCACAGCAGCCGCAAGCCCTACATCATTAGTTCAGCTGTTGTGGTTTGAAGCCATGTTGGAAGGAGGTACTGCTGGGTGTTTGTGTAACCATGATTCCCGCTGTACGATCCTGAATACTTGATAGTGAGACACTTTTTTTGCCCATAGCCACCTCAAGCCTTACCTTGTTACCGTGTTACGTACGGTCTCAAGAAGAACGAATTCTACCTAATGTGGACTTGAAACACAAAGACATACAGTATCTTGCTACTTTTGCTATAGCTGCTCCCCTAGCTGTCATGTGGTCCACAGAGGAACAACAGTAAATCTCTGCTTGCTGATTCTTGGCCAACCGTATCTGGCTTCTGAAAAAGGGATATCCACGAGGAGACTAGGTCTTCCTTGCTGAACAGAAGCAGCGGCTATAGCCATTAGTGCATAGAGAAGGGCTCATGCATTGTGACGAAAGTGGTATGCAGGGCGACAGCTGGCAGCACGCTATTGGAGTAGACGGCGAGCAGGCTGACGGCAATCCCAAGGGCCACGTTGGGGAAGAGGGGCGAGAGGGAGAGGTGGAAGAGGGCGAAGAAAGAGGGCTGCAGAGAGCATGGCAGCGTCGATCCTGAGGGAGAGAGAGGCAGGAAGGAAGAGGATAGTGCAGGAAGGTGAGTTAGTCAAACAAGACTTGGCCTGCTGACTTGAGTTGACTAGCATGATTTGCGTTGACTCATTGACTTCGATTCTGAGATGTACCATGACAGGATGAGATGTACCATGACAGGATGAGATGTACCATGACAGGATGAGATGTACCATGACAGGATGAGTTGTACCATACTAGGATGAGATGTACCATACTAGGATGAGATGTACCATACTAGGATGAGATGTACCATACTAGGATGAGATGTACCATACTAGGATGAGATGTACCATACTAGGATGAGATGTACCATACTAGGATGAGATGTACCATACTAGGATGAGATGTACCATACTAGGATGAGATGTACCATGACAGGCAAGGGTAAGAAGAAACCAAGGAAGTGGAATTGGATTGCTGGGAAAGAGTGTGTGCATGGGGACATGTGGAAATCACCAAACCCAAAAAAGGCAGCAGGTGAAGGTGCGGCTTTGCCAAACCTCCCTTCCGAGCCTCTCACTAGCCTGCCTCTCACCTGCCGAGCCTCTCTTGCAGGGCCGTGATCGGCAGCCCTCTGAACCGCAGCTTTTCTGCTACAGCCGGCGACACCGCCACCTACAGGAACAGCTGTAGCAGGTCCAGACGACGTAAGGCCGTGGCAGCTGTAGCAGAGGCAGCTGTAGCAGAGGCAGCTGTAGCAGAGGCAGCTGTAGCAGAGGCAGCTGTAGCAGCTACATCCCCTCCAGTCCCATCAGGCAGCAACAGAGGACCCACCCAGCAACAAGGCTGTAGCACACACACTATTACCCCCTCCTCCTGCTGCTGCTGCTGCTGCTGCTAGTTCTGGTAATCCCCCTCCCCCTCCCATCCAACACCAGTAAACAAAAAAAACTGGAGAGAAAAGTAGAGCCCATAGAATAGGTCCCCCTGCTGGCCCTGCCGCAATCACTTTCCATGAGCTATCATGTCCCCCATCCCCATCCCCCCCACAATGGCGATATCTGAAGAGAGGGGCTAAAGTGAAGATGCACACAAAGACATCAGGCATTGGCGCACACCCTCACTCCCATGCATCTGCGGCACACTGGACGCCGAAGAAGCCTATCAGCAGCAGCAGCCCTACAGCTTGACCCCAAACTTCTCCTCAAACAGCTTGTCTGAGCAGTGAACAAATTGGCGCAAACACACCATCTTCCTTTGCACCTCCAAGGTCACAAGCTGCTGCTCTGTAGCAGCTCTCCCGTCTGCCTCGTGATTGCCTAGAAGTTCCTCAAGTGGCAGTTGCCTACCACCATGCTCCCTCTGGCACTGCTGCTCTTGACTGTCCCCCGCTCGTTCGCTTTTTCTGCTTTCCACTCCCCATTCCATTCCCTCTACTCCCCCCAATTCGTCAGAAAATAAGGAAACAGAATGCAGGTTACTCCCCTGCTTCCCAGCTTGAATCCGAAAATCCCTCCCGGCTCCAACACTCGCCCGCCTAACCATCTCGCGTGCCACAACCGCATAGCCCATTCGTACCAGTGCCACATGCCGCGGTCTGATTCGCCGATCCAAACTCAACCCAAGAAATGGTGGGTAGGCAAGAACCTCCATTATAGAGAGCCCCATGTCCCATTTTAAGTACTCCAACTTGGGTTTCAGGTTCGTTTTCCAACTGTAGTAGATCGACGGCGGGTACCTCACAACCAAATCCACCACCAATTGATGAGCCCTGCATCTCTTGACACTTAGTGCTGAGTTAAGTGCCTGGGATTCATTTCCCCTTTCCAAGCAATTACCTCTATCACCTTCCCCCAACCTTTGCATCCCACTTCCCTCTCCTCCACTGCTCTCCAATGCCTCTTCCACTTCTCGCACAAGCTCACTAAAACTTTCCCTCATGCCATCTTCACTAGAAGGTAACAGCAAAGGAAATAGTGCCACAGCCCGCAAGGCATTCTCTCGGCCGATCAAATCAACCAATACCGCCATCTTGCCTTGCAGATTCTCCTCCGATAGTGTCAAAACGATCGGGTAACTCTGTGCCACTCTTCTTGCTGCCTCCTCCCCCACCAGCTCCACAAAGAACTGGAGCTTAGCTAAGAGAGTTTCTGTGGAAAGATTGAGGATGGTGGGGGCCCGCCAAAGCACAGTAGCAATGAAATGGGTGTCCAAGAAAGTGGACTGCGGCTCATCTAGCTGCTGCTCCAGGAGGCTCGTGCTATATGCTTCTACCTTCCCCCCAGATGCCGATTGAAATAAAGAGGATAATGTTCCGAGCCGAGTACTCACCGCCTCTTTGCTCAGAGTCAAGATGGACGGACATCTCTCTATAATCACACCCAGCTTGTCCACAGGAACCCCTGCCTCCACAAGAATGTCCAGGTTCGTTGAACGTGCCTCACAGCAGAGTAAGCTGCGACCACGTCGGAGCACCATACCCAATCTGCTACGGGGAACGCCTTTAGCCAAAATAAACTCAAGCATATTCTGAATCTGTTGCAGGGAGGAGCGGAGCCAGGCTGGAGTTATCAAAGCCATGTGCGCGACGTCAGCATTGGAAATGCCATATGACTGGAGGAGGCGGAGACGTGGCAGAAAGTCATTGGTGGGATTGGAGCGGAGAAGTTGAGGGTAAGTGGCGAGGAGGGAAGCGACAGTGGAAGGGGAGGAGATGCCGAGGTGGGAGGAGAAGAAGCGGTAGAGGGAGAGGAGGGCGGAGGGAGATACGACCCGCCGGTTGTACAACATGGGAGGAGATGTGGTGGGTGGTGTGTCCTCCTCACACGTCTCTGCTTCTGCATCTTCCTCATCCTCCTCTTCCTCCTCCTCCTCATCGTCCCCCTCCTCCTTCTCTTTCACTTTCTCCACCCCCTCTTCGTCCTCGCTGCTTCCTGT